TACATACTGTCAGCTCTCTCGGTGGACTTACGAAGACAAAAAAAAAAAAAACGAAAAGAAATTGTAAAACGTAGACCCTCTTGAGGCTTTGATTCGTGATTAATAGAAAAAAAGACTTTTTCATAGAATTTTTATTATCGATCGATTATTCATCGGTTTGGTATTAATATATGTCGTTTATATATGTCGTTTTATGATGCGGAGATAAGGTTTGATTTATTGTGAAAAAAGAAAAAAACGTGAATTAATCTTTTAAGCTTATCCATTTTATATCTGATTGTAAAATTTAATAGGGCTAATTAGTAACAGGAAACTAATTAATTAAAATCTTCCTTAATTACGTATAATTCTCAGAGTTTACTTTAAGGTTTGAAAATTTAAGCTAATCACAGAACCTTGAAATCACGCGTAGATGATTTATGATGCCATTGGCTTTGTTCTTCTTCATTCAGTATTGTCAAATTAGCTACAAAGGCCTGCGTTGAAAGGCGCTTATCAGCTAAATACTACGATATCGATCTATCTTCACACATTCAGATTCGCGATGCTCGTGTAGTTTCTCACTTTTCGCCTCACACCGAGTTGAACAAGACACGAACGAGGCTCTCTTAGTGACTTAACGGTACCTCCTAAAGAACAGATCATGGCATTGTTCCAGCGGCAGTGCTTTCGCAGTCAAACTCGTTTCGAGTAAATCTCTCGCTAGCCGCAGTACCACCTTTTGTACCACCGAGAGAGATGATGAAATTCTCCCAAAGCAGTTTTATCACCATATTTTAATCTCGAGAAAATCATTTCCGTTATTTTAATCTGCGAGACGAACGTGAAAATAATAATAATAATATGCATATGAAAATTCCGTAACACAAGAGACATAAATAGATTCGATTGTCGTTGCCCCGAGATAATGTTTTTAATCTCGAAAGATGATTTTGGGTTTCGTCTGTATTAAAATGTAAATGCGTCTTAAACGGAATAATTCATGAGACAACAACGAAAAGAATATCTTTACTGAGAATTACAGGGGAGAATTACAGAGAGTAGAAAGATTGCCCTAAAGTAATTCCGCTACGATCCTTGAGTCACAGGGACCAGAAGGGTCAATCACATTTCTCCGTGACCGTTCCCAGGTCTCCTCTCAAGTACGTAAACGGAAGAAACGCTGACGGACAAAGTGGCTAAAGGTTGCCGCAGTACTTTCACCATCTGGCACGAGTAAGTTTTGGAATGCTATATCACCATTAGAGTGCACCACTACGATATCTCTTGCCTCTAGTGGTTGAGTTATGAATCACTCCATTATTTATTTATTTAATTATTTATCTCGACATGAGAAGATTTCTCTCATATCATTATTTATATACCTTCTTTTGCGCGGAATCTTCTTTCTTAGAAATAACCTCGCATGTGTGACATTTGACATTATTGTATACATATTAATCCATCTATCTTTTTTCTTGATTTCTCTTAGCTCGAACGTCATGTACGAAAGAGACTATTCGGAATTTTGTCAGGTAAAATGATATTCGGTCGCCGAATCGCCAAGTATTCCGCCCGCACCTTTGGAGAATTCCCTCGCCTTGGGTGAAACAAGGGAGGAAACATATTAAAATAGAACAATAAATGGTTGTTGCGCGCGTGTCATCGCGAAGCGAGATGTTTAGTGCGCTA